GTCACTTTTTTCCATCTGCTCTCTCCCCTTCCTCTCTCGTCCTCATCGTCCACCGCAAACCTATCCCGCTACCAGAACCACCGCGTTGCAGCAGCTTGCGCTTTTGTTGCTGTTCCGAGAGTGATCAGCCTTCGATTGGATCACCGACGAATCTCTGCCAGCTACGGGCTCTCGGTGCACACCCACGTGTCCATAAAGGTTCCCCAGGTCTTCCTATCTCTTTTGGCTTTCTTAGGATCCGCATCGACCATCGTCCCTTTCTTGGATATAGCCCCGTACAGTCGGTCGCAACGCTCTTGAACGCGAATCTTTGCACGACCACTGCACTACGCACGCGCCGTTCCTTCCGCCACGCCTGGTCCACAGCGCGTTTCAGACAAGGCTTCATTATCAGTAGGCTGATCCCTTTACGCACCTGTCAGACGCACGGATCTGTCAAAAAGTAGACATTCGGACTACCCTTGTCTCTCTACGAAGCTACCACAGAAACACATTCCGCGGCTTCTACCTGCTCGGAAGAATAGATCGGAAGAATGCAGACCATCAAGTGTGTAGTCGTCGGTGACGGTGCCGTCGGTAAGACGTGTCTCCTCATCTCGTATACTACCAATGCCTTCCCAGTAAGTTTGCCGTCGTACAACGTCGTCATTCCCTCCCATCTCCATACTTACCATCTGCATCCTTGCAACCCCTTATCGCACCGCAGGGCGAGTACATCCCTACAGTCTTCGACAACTACTCGGCGAACGTCATGGTCGACGGCAAACCTGTCTCCCTCGGTCTATGGGATACCGCGGGACAAGAAGACTACGACCGTCTAAGACCGCTCTCCTACCCGCAAACCGACGTCTTCCTCGTCTGCTTCTCTCTCGTCTCACCACCTTCGTTCGAAAACGTCCGCACCAAGTGGTGGCCCGAGGTGTCGCATCACGCTCCCAACATCCCCACCATCCTCGTGGGCACCAAGCTGGATCTGCGCGAGGATCCGGAGACCATCGCCAAGCTGCGCGATAGGAGGATGCAGCCCATCACGTATGCGCAGGGAAACCAGATGGCCAGGGATATTCATGCCAACAAGTACCTCGAGTGCTCGGCGTTGACTCAGAAGGGGCTCAAGGGGGTGTTTGATGAGGCGATCAGGAGCGTTTTGGCTCCGGCGCCGGTGAAGAGCAAGAAGAAGAACAACTGTATGATTCTTTGAGAGAAGTTCGGGGTATTACAAGTGGGGT